ATCCAGCTCTACACCTTGTTATCTCAGATACTCCAGCATCTGCAGTTCCTACTATCTCTGAACCAATTTCACAAGGTTAGGTACTTCTTGAGGCTTCCATCAGGATATTATAACAAGTGTTGTGCAGTGACCTAACTCATGATAGCCAGCTGGTTGAGAAGAGGCGTCCCTTTGCAGATTTCCATTGATGGTATTCCTTCAATCTTCCAGAACATGCACAAACTAGTAAATTAGCCTGAAATATTTGAGCATCCTCTGTGACAGCATTGGAACTGTAAGAGGCAGTGGTTTGAGCGGCTTCTATGAGCAGACTAGTGCACTCTGAGGGAGAGTGGAGATTTGTACTGCCATTGTGTAGCTCCCAGCCTTGAACGACTATGTGTTCCCTTGAAATGCTGATACATGGAAAGAATCTTTGTCTCCTGAGACATGTAGAATCATCAGGTGAGTCTGAACTCTCTGCCACAAGATGAGATGTAAGTCTGGAACGATGCACACAGGTCAGCGCCTAGCACATCCCTACACATTGCATTTAATCTCAGTGGAGTCCACATTAACTTGGCTGCGGTCACTAAAGTCACATGACGTCTGAGGCTATCTGCGGCCAAGGAGAGGGTGTGAGATTGTAAAGAGATGATCAATGCCAACTTCTTTCTGAAGAGGCTGTTCATCTCTCACAGGGGTGTGACTTAACCAGGTCCCACAGCGAAAATTATACCACAGTGCCATTTTAACAAAACAGGTGAAAGTATAGCTACAAATTATTTACGATGACCCCCGATGACCGTGCTTGGCAGTGCCTGGAGAAACCGGAAGTGAACACGTTGGCACAGACTGGCATGCATGGGCACTCAGAGTGGTTGTGCAGATACACAGCATAGAGGGAGCACTATTTCACAATTCCCCATAAAAGAAGACCAATAAATGCAGTTACGTCTTTAATAAGGTTTAATTAAGAGCAGATTTGTGTGTACCAAGCCAGGAATCTCACTCGGCAGAACACTTGAACTGAACAGGGGAACATTGCTTCCTATGTACTTATTTTAAGCCTTCAACATGACAAAACATTGCAAAATGTTTCACAGGAGCGCTATCAAGTAACCATTTGGCTCTTAGTTACATAAGAACGTATTAGGCTGATGACTAAAAGCCTGATCAAAGGGGTGAGTTTTAACAAGTGCCTGAAAGGAGGGAAGGGAGGTCAAGAGGCAGAGAAATGTAGGAACGGAACTCAGAGTTAGCTAGGCAACGGAAAGGTTGATCACCAATGGTGGAGTTATTCAAATCAGGATTGCTTGAGATACTAGAATTTGAGGAGTCCAGACAGAGTCATTGAGTCATACAGCATGGAAACAGACTCTTTGGTTCAAGCAATCCACGCGAACCATAATCCCAAACTAAACTAGTCCCATCTGCCTGCACTTGGCCTATATCCCTCCAAACCTTTCCTATTCAGGTACTTATCCAAATGTCTTTTAAACGTTGTAACTGCACCCACTTCCACTACTCCCTCTGGAAGTTCATTCCACACATCAACCACTCTCTGTGTCAGAAAGCTTCCCAACATGTCTTTTTTAAATCTTTTTCCTTTCACCTTAAAAATATGCCTCCTAGCCTTGAAATTCCCCCACCCTGGAGAAAAAAACACATACCATTAACTCTATCTATACCCCTCATGATTTTAAAAACGTCTATAACATCACCCCTCAACCTCGTACGCTCCAGTGAATAAAGTCCCAGCTTATCCAGCATCTCCTTATAACTCCAACCCTCCATTTCTGGCAACATCCTGGTAAATCCCTACTGAATGCTCTCCAGCTTGATAATATCCTTCCTATAACAGGTCAACCAAATTGAGAAGTGCTGTAGCACCGGAAAATATTACTGAAAAGGGGATTACGGGGATTTGTAAACAAGGAGGCTTGAAATATCAATGTTTTGCTTCAAAGGGACCCAGTGTAAGGTCAGTGATCACAGCAGTGATGACCAAAATGATTGGGCATTAGCAAGCCCAACTTCAAGTTTTGGAGAAGATTTGTAGCTCGGGTTGTGGATGAGGTTGTAGGTTTGTTTGCTGGGCCGGTGGGTTTGGTTGCAGATGTTTCATCACCCTGCTAGGTAACATGGTCAGTGCACCTCCAGTGAAGTGTTGGTGTTCTGTTATTTACGCTTCGTCGACAACAAACACATTGAACTGAACCAGATATACAAACCACTGAGAAACAGAACCGGAAGTAATGCCAACCACCCCAGCAAACCAAGGCATATAAATAACATGTGGGACAGAATACCGGGGGTGCACTGACAAAGCTACCTAACAGAGTGACAAAACATCTGCAATCAAAGACACCGGCTCGGCGAGCAAGTTTACAAACTTCATACCCAATTTTGTTCCTCCCAGGCTTCCAATTGAAGTGAAACAACAATCTTTAAATATAAAAACCAAAAGAAATGCGGATGCTGTAAATCAGGAACAAAAACAAAGTTGCTGGAAAAGCTCAGCAGGTCTGGCAACATCTGTGAAGGAGAAAACAAGAGTTAACGTTTCGGGTCCGGTGACCCTTCCTCAGAACTTTAATCTTTAAATATAATCATAAAGTGCTGGAAATAGTCAGCCAGGGTCAATGGCATGTGGAGAGAGAGAGAGAGAGGGAGAAAGAAAGGGAGAAAAATATAGTCCAAACCATTACCGCTGCTTTTGTCCTTAATCCGTAACATTTTTTGTCTTTAATCACTCCCATCTTGTACTTTATCCTAGAGCTTCCCTTTTGTTCTTCCTTACACTCACCCTTTTCTATGGCATAAAACTCATCACACCTCCATTTTCCTCGAGTTCTGAAGAAAAGGTGTTTCCAACTCAAACCAGGAACTCAATTTCTCTCTCCACAGATACTGCCAGACTGACTGAATATTTCCAGAACTTCCTGCTTTTATTTCAACTTTGCAGCATCCTGAGTATCTTATTTTTGGCAGCATTCTTTAAATGCTTGCTTCTCAGAGGGAAATAAATGCGGCATCAATTTGATCTAGAGATAGCAAGAACTGTAGATGCTGGAGTCAGGGATAACACAGTGTGGAGCTGAAGGAACACAGCAGGCCAGGTAGCATCAGAGGAGCAGGAAAATTGACATTTCAGGTCGGGACCCTTCTTCAGAAATGGGAAGGAGGAGGGGAGCTCAGAAATAAATAGAGAGAGGAGGGGTGGGTCTGGGGAATGTAGGTGGAATGGTGATAGGTGCCGACCTGCACTCAACTGACCAATCCCCACCACTGCCTACCTGCACTCACCACACTCCCCGCTAGCCCCACCACTCCCAACATCTTTCCCTGCAACCACAGGAAGTGGTGGGTTTGACCTGCCCCTAAACCTCCCCCCTCACTTCAATCCAAGGAACCAAAAAAACCTTCCACATCAGGCAGAGGTTCACCTGCACATCCGCCAATGTGGTCTACTGCATCCACTGCTCCCATTGTGGCCTCCTCTACATCAGTGAGACAAAGCGGACGCTTGGACACCGCTTTGCAGAGCACCTGCGCTCTGTTCACAACAAATGACAACACCTTCCAGTCACAAACCACTTCAACTCCCCCTCCCACTCCCTGGGCAACATGTCCATCCTGGGCCTCCTCCAGTGTCACAATGACATCACCTGGAAATTGGAGGAGCAGCACCTCATATTCTGCCTTGGGAGCCTACAACCCAATGGTCTCAATGTGGACTTTACCAGTTTCAAAATCTCCCCACCGCGCCCCCCCCACCCCTCACCCTCATCCCATGACCAACCCTCCCTCTCAACCCCGCCTCCTTGACCTGACACAACCTGTCCATCTTCTCTCCCAGCTATCCGCTCCTCCCACCTCACTGACCAATCCCCACCACTGCCTATCTGCACTCACCTATGACCATTCCACCTACCTTCCCCAGCCCCACTCCTCCTCTATTTATTTCGGAGCTCCCTTCCCCATCCCCCATCAAATTGATGTAGTTACTATTTGGTCATTTAAATGTGCAGCTACTTGGTACCTAATGTACTTTATTAAGTTCTGGGATAATTGAGAGAGAGAGAGAGAGAGAGAGATTGGTTTGGATGCAGCAGTGGGGCTGTCCAAGTGCAGGACAGAGAGGTAATCCACAGGGTCAAGATTGGGGTTGAAAATTCAGTGATAATTATCATTAATCAAGACTGAATACAATTATTACACACATTATAATAGAATGATTGCCGATTCATTAAAAGACTGCAAAGAAACCAAGCTCCACATTTCCCCAGATGGAAAAGAAAGGGTAAAAATGGTGACCACTGATCTGCATTTTAAATGAAATTGAAAATCTGGCCTAAAAATAGCACTCACGCAGGCAAGCTTTGTAATTAGTTACCATGGTGCACTCAGCAACTCATTTATCCAACTGTGTTAAAAGTGAACTTTTCAGCGTTTTTATCGGACGCATTTGTCATGCTGACAGCACTTCAGTCTGAGGAGCATCAGGCTGCAACTTAATGAGAACTCAGTTTACCTGCAGGGCTAAAGGTTTCCATCTCACATTCTTCAGCAGTGCAGGAGCGGAAGTGAGTGTGTTCTGTGGTCGTTTTTTCAAAGTCAGTATCACCCCATTGGGATCCTCCCTGAGTGCGTTGACGAGGTTCTTCAGCTGCCAGCCCACCTGGAACCGAGAGCCCAGAGACAGAAAGATGCAAACAAGATATTTAACTTTCACATACATCGTACTGAACACAAGGATTGCTGGAAAAAGAGTCAGTTTTGCTCAAGTCAGTCCTCAGGACAACTCGTAAGGGCTACGATTCAAGGGGAATTTAGCATTGCATGAGAGGACAGTGCTGATTGGTTGGCAACTGGACTCTGATTGGTATAGCTGTTGCCTTGGGGAATGCTCCAATAAATGATGATTGACAGTTAACCACAGTAAGGCTTCTTGTGCCTTTTTGCAGCAATTAATTTCCTGAACCAACAAATTAAACCTGAATGGAATTGAAGAAGCATGTAACCAAATGAAGCAACCACTTGAATATATTTTACACTGGACTAACTGTAAATATGCAGAGAGGGTGAAGTGTCTGTCCCTATTATGTGAAACATGATGATTACACTTCAAGAAGACCATTTGGTTTATTTTAAATGAAAGGGATCCTGGGATGCCTCCATTGCTGTAGCTAAATGGTCCTCAACGCTTCTGGGAGATGTCTTCCTGTTAGTCGATTGAGAATTATGTCCCGTAGTTAGAGGGATCAGTCATAATTATACAGAAAGTGGACTGCAGCTTGAAGTAACTCAGTGGGGTGGAAAGAGCTTGTAGCCTGTGAACAGCGGCGCTATCCAACATACATTCTGAGCAACATCAGATTGTGTAAGGTAGTGTTACGAAGTTCATTCAAGCTTCTGTGTGAAGGACCACCTGAAGGAGACCTGGGAGTTACCTGTTCTGCTTATCAGGATTGAGAGATAAAAGTTAGGCGGTTCAACAGGAGAAGACAGGGTGGTGTTTCAGCCACGGTGACACAGATTAAGGAGGGTTGGCTGGCAAGAAGCATGGACTGCAGTTGCTGTTACAATTTTCTCTCATGCCATCTGATCACATAATGGCTTATGTGTGAATATGCACATTCCCTTTTCAAATTTGGGAAAAAATAAGTTCAAACAAGTTGAAATGATATTTTCAAGATAAGCTGTTACTGGAAATTCGATTAACTATAGATATTTATGTCATCATAATAAAACTTTTGTGCATTTGCCTTATCTACAGCATTGCCTATTGTTAACCTATATCACTAAAACACATGTGAATATACGGATAATGAAGGAACTTCTTCTCTTCCTTATACTAGATGATGAAGAAACAGGTTATTTTCCTTGAAATATGCAAACGTCAGGCCAACAAATCCAGAAGGCAACTATCAAATGCTATCAAGTAATCCAATCAAAGGAACAAGAATCAATTGAATGTCAGAAACAAGCCACTGGCATTCTAGAACGACCTGTACATGGTCATTTTTGACTGATAAAATCACAGTTAATAAGTCATTTTCACGACTAAAGTTTCCCTGCACATTTGACTGAACGCTTCTAAACCTACCTGATCACATCAGTCAAAACATGACGACCATGATCAACACATAAAAAAAAATTTAAAAAGAAAATCACATCCTTTGCCAAAAACATTTCGTCCACCTTTTAACTGCTGTGATATCTCTCCTTCTCCTACATATATAACACCAGTACTGGCCATCCCAGCCCAGTATGTTCTCATACCCCTGGAGCTTGGGCCTGGCTCAAGTTGGATGGTCACTTGTGGCCTAATGCAAAGAGTGAACAGATAGGTTCAGCAGATCAACTGAATGAGCTGAGGACTTCATCCATCTCCAGAGCAAGCCCCAATCACTCCACACCGACTTCTTCCCATTGTTATAATTGGTCCAATAATTCTACTCTTCCCCTTTGTTACTCCCTCCACTGCTCATTTACCAACCCACCCAAACTTCACAACGCCAAGACTGTTTCACTTTCCAGACATCGATCTCTGCATACTTTTCTCGGCCACATTTGGTCACAGCTCGAAAGACAAACATTTCAGCTTACCTTCCAACAGGCACAAGAGATCGTCAGAAACAAGGGGTGGGAATTTATATTCCATACCAAGTGCACTACCTTCCCTCTACCCTCTCTCCAACTACGCTGATGGAATTTGCTAGAAATTTGCTAGAGCTACTCAGGAGGGTGTAAACTAGTCTGGCAGTGGAAGGTGGGATCCAAAGCAATAGGGAGACAAAAATAAAAGTTGAGGACAGTACAAACATTAAGAGAGCAAGTTAAATACTAAAGGCAGTGTTGGTAATCCCAGTACTAGACGAGGCAATCAACAGCATGACAGAGTGTGGAGTTTGCACATTCTCCCCGTGTCTGCGTGGGTTTCCTCCGGGTGATCCGGTTTCCTCCCACAGTCCAAAGATGAGCAGGTTAGGTTAAATGGCCATGCTAAATTGCCCATAGTGTTCAGGGATGTGTAGATTAGGGGGATGGGTCTGGGTGGGATGCTCTGAGGGTCGGTGTGGACTTGTTGGGCTGAAGGGCCTGTTTCTACACTGTAGGGATTCTACGAAAGCAAGGGAAGTCTGGGCTAAAATGCATTTATTTTAATGCAAGAGGCCTGAAAGTTAAGGCAAATGAACTCAGGGTATGGATAGGAACATGGCTGAGGGAGGGATAGGACTAGCAGCCAAATGTCCGGGGTAGAGATGCCGTAGGAAGAATAGAAGGGGTGACAAGAGAGGAGGGGGAGTTACATTTTTGATTAGGGAGAACATCACAGCAGTACTGAGAGAAGACATTCTTCAAAGTTCGCTCACTGAGTCTGTATGAGTAGAACTGAGAAATAAAAAAGGAGGAAATCACTTTGATAGCATTGTGCTACAGGCCCCTGAATAGTCAGTGGGAGATTGAGGAGCAAATGTATAGAGACATCGCAGATAGCTGCAAGAATAATAGGTTGAAATAGTAGGGGATTTTTAACTTTCCTGCATCGACTGGGACTGCCAAAGTGTTAAGGGCTTGGATGGAGAGAAATTTGTTAAGTATGTTCAGGAAGAATTTCACATGCAGTATGTAGATGGCCCTACTAGAGAACAGGCAAAACTTGATCTCCTCTTGGGAAATAAGGCAGGGCAAGTGACGCAAGTGTTAGTAGGGAATCACTTTGGGGCCAGTGACCATAATTTCATTAGTTTTAAAATATTAATGGAAAAGGATAGATCTGGTCCACAAATTAAAATTCTAAATTTGGGCAAGGCTAATACTTATGGTCGTGGACAGGAACTTTCAAAAATTGATTGAGGGAGGCTGTGTGCAGGCAAAGAGATGTCTGGTAAGTGGGAGGCGTTCAAAAGTGAATGAATGAGTGGTCAGGAACAGCATATTCCTGTTTACGTGAAGGGTAAGACTGGCAGGTGTAGGGAACCCTGGACGACTAGAGTTGTTGAGGCCCTGGTCTTGAAAAAGGAGGCATATGACATGTATAGGTAGCGGGGATCAAGTGAATTCCTTGAAGAGTATTGAAGGTGTCAGAGTGCACTTGAGAGAAATCAATGGGACACAAGATGGCATTGGCAGATAAGGTAAAGGAGAATCCAAAGAGCTTCTACAAGTACACAAACAGCAAAGAAGTAAATAGGGAGAGAATAGGGCCTTTCACAGATCGACAAGGTCATCTACATGCAGAGCCACAAGAGAAGGGTGAGATTCTAAATGAACATTTCTCATCAGTATTTACTGTCGAGAAACGTATAGATGCTAGGGAACTTGGGGAAATAAATAGTGATGTCTTGGAGAGTGTCCACATTAAAGAGGAGGTGCTTTATGTCTTAAAACACATTAAGCTAGATAAATCCCCTGATGAAGTGTATCCCAGAACTTTATGGGAGGCTAGGGAGGAAATTGTGGGGCTCCTAATGGAGACATTTGTATCATTGATAGCCATGGGTGAAGTGCCTGAAGATTGGAGGGTGGCTAATGTTGTGCCATTATTTAAGGGAGACAGCAGGGAAATGCCTGGGAACTACAGACCAGTGAACCTTACATCCGTGGTGGGTAAGTTGTTAGAGGGAATTCTGAGAGATAGCATTTACAGGCATTTGAAGAAGTAAGGACTCATTTGAGATAGTCAGTAGGTTTTATGTGTGGGAAATCGTGCTTCACGAATTTGATTGAGTTTTTTGAAGGAGTGACCAAGAAAGTCGATGAGGGCAGTGCAGAAGACATGGAATTTAGCAAGGCTTTAGACAAAGTTCCGCATGGTAAGTTGTTGAGTAAGGTCAAATTTCACAGGGTCCATGGACAGCTAGTCAATTAGATATAAAATTGGCTTGATGGTAGAAGACAGAGGGTATGGTAGAGGGTTGTTTTTCAGACTGGAGGCCTATGAAAGTGATATGCCACAGGGATCGGTGCTGGGTCCACTGTTATTTGTTATTTATATAAATGATTTGGATGAGAAGTTAGAAGGTATGGTTAGTAAGTTTGCGGAGGACATGAAGTTTGGCGGTATAGTGGACAGTGAAGAGGGTTATCTGGGAATGCAGCAAGAACTTGATCAACTGGCTCAGTAGGCTGAAGAATGGCAGATGGAGTTAAATTTAGATAAATGCAAAATGTTGCATGTTGGTAAAGCAAACCAGGGTAGAACTTACGCAGCCAATAGCAGGGACCTGAGGAGTATTATAGAACAAAGAGATCTAGGGGTACAGGTACATAGCTCCTTGGAAGTGAAGTGACAGGCAGACAGGGTGGCAAAGGCGGCTTTCGGCATGCTAGCTTTCATCGGTCAGAGCACTGAGTAATATGAGTTGGGACGCCTTGTTGCAGCTGTGCAAGACACTGGTGAGGCCATTTTTGGAGTATTGTGTCTGGTTGCCCTACTATAGAAAGATATTATTAAACTTGAAAGAGTGCAAAGAAGATTTATTAGGGTGCTAACTGGACTGGAAGGTTCGTGTTATAAGGAGAGGTTGATGAGGCTGGGATTCTTTTTCCTGGCACATAGGAAACTGAGGGGTCACCTTATAGAGGTCTATAAGATCATGAGAGGCATAGATAAGGTAGATAGCCAAAAACATTTCCCCACGGTACGGGAATCTAAAACTAGAGGACAGAGGT